GAAAAAAAACTCCAAATTTGTAGGTTTGTAAATTCAATCAAGCTCCATTATACTGAAACAAATTGTTTATATTGTATACAGTTTATGTTATTTCAGAAAGATACACATCACATATAAAAAAGATTACAATACATTAGCACAAAAAAAATGATTACATTTACATTTTCGAAAAATCATAAACAAAATTACCACTGTTGAACAACAAGACATCAAACATTCCCATAAATTAAATTAAATATTTATAAAGCCTTTACAACGGAATATGAATATCGCTAAATTTAAAATAAATTCACTGAATTTTCTTTAATACTTGATTATTTATAAGCTATCTTTGACTTAGTTTTTATTTCAATGGGAGTCACAATTTTCTACTTAATAAACAACAGAACTATTGTATTCAAAAAAGCAGAGAAAATATTTTGAAAAGACAAACACCAGTAGAAAATATCACCAAATTACTTGGCCCTGATATTCTGGTAGTACACAAATTTTCTTCAAAGTTTCGTAAATCATCATTGTCGCCGTCGCATATATACAGCTGTTAATCATCCGTGGTAAAAGACCTTTTGTTATTATTCCGTATCTCTCATCGAACCACAGCGTTTTAATTGTACCTGCATAGGATGCACGTTGAACCTATAAAAAGCACTTCAAGAATTCAATTATTTAAATTTATGAAATTAAGTTCAAATCTGGATAATGTTGTCAAAGATCATATATTTGAAAGTAATATCTGAGACCGAAAATCAGACTTGAATTCAATATCTGAAGTCCAAAATCGTAAGTATTAAAAATTCTTAAAGTAATTCAAAACCAGTAGTACAATGCAACTAAGTATAATAAAAAAAAAGAAATAAACATTAAAAATTCATGAACCTGCGCACGTAATCGTAGTATTTCTAGTGGGTTTGTTAGCGTTGTTGCTACTATGGAAGACGTCGCTGCAGCTACTCCCTGATCTAATAAAAGATAAGGATGTCCGTCTTTGTCATACCCTGGAATTCTTTTTTCTTAATTCATAATAATATTTTTTAAAATTTTTTGTTAATTTGTTAATTCTTCTACTAATGATAATGACACAGTAAAATCTAAACAATATATGCTTACCAAGCAAATCATGAAGAAATTTTCTCCTACACCATCGAATGCTTTCCAGGCATGTATAATATACTGTCCAAAATATTGATCCAGCAGATATTCCTAATGCTGTTGAGGCTATATAACCTCTAGAATAACAAAAATAACAAAGATAAAAAATATCAAAAGTCAGAATTAGAACACAATAAAAACCAATAACGGAGACTTTCTAATTACGAAAAAGCAAGTGGTGCTATTCTTTCTTCACATCCTGAAGAACGGCAGAAAAGATCTAAAGATAACCTGTCATGGCAGGAGAGTGATCATAGTGCTTCAAGAATTTTTTGTCAACGTATAAGTGATCAAGTTACGCAGTGTTTTCAATGGTGATGGGAATGCACACTTGAAGAGTTACGTACCAATTTTCCGAATAAAACTGACATTGTGAACAATTTTGCTGAACTCATAAAGTAACAATGGTTTCAGGTGACAAAAAGTGTTAAAGCACTACAATCAGCATAAATGTCATGACAGATTGTTTGGTTAGCTTTCTAACTAAGACCAATATATCTCTCAGATTGTCTTTATAATCTTATTATACCTGAAAAAGCCACGATAACCATCAACATGATATAAGGCTCGGATAATTTGAAAAGCAGGTCTCGATGACAATTTGGCCTTATTTCGATGAATATAATTCAAAACAGCAGCATGTTGAGGATCACCTGAAACTATTATTGCACATAATTAAAACTACCGAAAAAAATTCGGGACTCACTACAGAACCTTTATATTTCTTCCATACAACTAATGCCAAGCAAAGGTAATTCGGTTAACGTGGATACAAAATGTAAACTTACGTATCGGTACTTACGTATCAGTATATCAGTATATTGTTATTATCTATTCCATTATTTACATTTAAAAAATAAGCAGTTTTTCAATTTTTTATCAATTTTATCTCAAGAATTAAGCTACCTTGACAACTTTTTTTTGAATACTAATATTTCAAAACTGAAAATAATTCTTAAGAAAAGAAGGAAGAAAGATAGTTTTACGAACAATTAATTGCTAGTATTTCATTATTTATCGAATTATTTGATAATGATAGTTATTCATTTCATATATATGCTAATATACCAGCTATTTTCAATACATTTTTA